TTCGTCGGACCATTCTCTTTAAACTCTAGAGATGGTTGTGTATGAAAATTCCAGTAGATCAGCAGTTTTTGAAATACTCAGACCAGCCCGTCTGTCACCAACCATGCCATGTTAAGTCACTTAAATCCCCTTTCTTCCCCATTCTGATGTTCAATGAACATCACCAAGTCGTCTTCACCACATCTAGATGCCTAAAAGCATTGAGTTGCTGCCATGTAATTGGGTCATAAGCAATTTGTGTTACCAAGCAATTGAACAGGTGTACCTAATAAAGTGGCCAGTGAGTGTATACAGTCAGGTCCATAAATATTGGGACATCAACATAATTCTAACATTTTTGGCTCTATACACCACCACAATGGATTTGAAATGAAACGAACAAGATGTGCTTTAACTGCAGACTGTCAGCTTTAATTTGAAGGTATTTACATCCAAGTCAGGTGAAGGGTGTAGGAATTACAACAGTTTGCATATGTGCCTCCCACTTGTAAAGGGACCAAAAGTAATGGGACAATTGGCTTCTCAGCTGTTCTATGGCCAGGCGTGTGTTATTCCCTCATTATCCCTATTACAATGAGCAGATAAAAGGTCCAGAGTTCATTTCAAGTGTGCTATTTGCATTTGGAATCTGTTGCTGTCAACTCTCAAGATGAGATCCAAAGAGCTGTCACTATCAGTGAAGCAAGCCATCATTAGGCTGAAAAAACAAAACAAACCCATCAGAGAGATAGCAAAAACATTAGGCGTGGCCAAAACAACTGTTTGGAACATTCTTAAAAAGAAGGAACGCACCAGTGAGCTCAGCAACACCAAAAGACACGGAAGACCATGGAAAACAACTGTGGTGGATGACCGAAGAATTCTTTCCCTGGTGAAGAAAACACCCTTCACAACAGTTGGTCAGATCAAGAACACTCTCCAGGAGGTAGGTGTATGTGTGTCAAAGTCAACAATCAAGAGAAGACTTCACCAGAGTGAATACAGAGGGTTCACCACAAGATGTAAACCATTGGTGAGCCTCAAAAACAGGAAGGCCAGATTAGAGTTTGCCAAACGACATCTAAAAAAGCCTTCACAGTTCTGGAACAACATCCTATGGACAGATGAGACCAAGATCAACTTGTACCAGAGTGATGGGAAGAGAAGAGTATGGAGAAGGAAAGGAACTGCTCATGATCCTAAGCATACCACCTCATCAGTGAAGCATGGTGGTGGTAGTGTCATGGCATGTATGGCTGCCAATGGAACTGCTTCTCTTGTATTTATTGATGATGTGACTGCTGACAAAAGCAGCAGGATGAATTCTGAAGTGTTTTGGGCAATATTATCTGCTCATATTCAGCCAAATGCTTCAGAACTCATTGGACGCCGCTTCACAGTGCAGATGGACAATGACCCAAAGCAGACTGCAAAAGCAACCAAAGAGTTTTTTAAGGGAAAGAAGTGGAATGTTATGCAATGGCCATGTCAATCACTTGACCTGAATCCGATTGAGCATGCATTTCTCTTGCTGAAGACAAAACTGAAGGGAAAATGCCCCAAGAACAAGCAGGAACTGAAGACAGTTGCAGTAGAGGCCTGGCAGAGCATCACCAGGGATGAAACCCAGCGTCCGGTGATGTCTATGCGTTCCAGACTTCAGGCTGTCATTGACTGCAAAGGATTTACAACCAAGTATTAAAAAGTGAAAGTTTGATTTATGATTATTATTCTGTCCCATTACTTACTTTTGGTCCCTTAACAAGTGGGAGGCACATATGCAAACTGTTGTAATTCCTACACTGTTCACCTGATTTGGATGTAAATACCCTCAAATTAAAGCTGACAGTCTGCAGTTAAAGCACATCTTGTTCGTTTCATTTCAAATCCATTGTGGTGGTGTATGGAGCCAAAAATGTTAGAATTGTGTCCATGTCCCAATATTTATGGACCTGACTGTATATTCAGTTAATGTCTATTCATAGTGATAGATGACGTCATCAGTGTGCTGCTGCTCTTTCATCGTCCAGTTAGCAGGTTGAGGGTGTGTTTTTTGATCAATCTAGCTATACTGTCTAGGGGTACTGTCACATGGGGTAGAGTAAAGTCTTCGACCCTTAGTAAGCTGAAGTGACCGATAGTAACATGGCTAGCTGCAATTCATTTTGTCCCCCAATGACTAATTGCATGTCCGCCATCCTAGCATGCCAAACATTTCCTTCTACACCATAACCAACTGACTGTGTTAAGGGAAATTTCTTTGCATCTGTATAAATAGCATTACAGCCTACTATACTGGATAGCCCAGGGTATGCACTGACCCGCTTGGTTCCATGTGTATTATAATATGGTGGCTGCATAATCTATTGAAGTGGACTGGAATGGTTTATGACCAAACATCATACACTATGTAAATATTCAATTCACAGTAAAACCATCTAGTCCTTATAGCGGAGGCAGCTTTATCTTTATAAAACCTGTACTGGGGCTGGCTTCACTTGGAATCCTGACAAGCAGGTGGATTCCCAATTCCATAGACCACGTTTTGATTTCTAACTAACAAGTTTGCTGATTAGGCTTGGCTGGACCAAGCTAGGCTGCTCAGCTTGTATGCGTGTCAGCTCACAGAGCCGGACTAAACTGTAAAGGCTCATTTAGATGGGCGCTGACATCAATTCCTCATGCATGAGCCTTTTTTTGTTTGAATCCGACCCAAGCTGCAAACAGGATTGGGTGCATAGACCTGAAAGATCTCTGCATCCTTTTCCGTGCACCCGCTTCTGCACGATTGTCAGATTTTTTACATAAGGCTGTGTCCATGTAGCTGCTGGGTCTGCATCCACTTCTATAGGTCAACTGCATGCAGCAGACACACATCTGAATGAGCCCTAAAGCTGTAAACTGCAGCATTAATAGTCCATGCTTTAATAAACTGTTGCTTTCTGGATTGTTGCTGTTCCACTACCTTGTGAAGGGGTCTAAAGAATTGGGGACTTGTTTGCTCCACTTTAAGTGCGATTCCTACAGTATTTACAGTTATAATCTTAAAAAAAAAAATAAAGCCACACGTCACAAACAAGTATTTATTAAAGATAAAAAAAATGTAAAAAAAAAAAAAATATACTTTTAACATGTCATTACAAAAAGACATCAGACCAAAACATTACACATTACTTGCAATCATTCTTTTAACAGGCTGGTGGTACAATGCTGAATGGCAACGGCATGGGTATTCAAATATGGTTTTTGCCTCTTGAAAAAAGAAGCTAAATTCCAGCTTTACCATCACACCAAACGCTGCTGTTTTCTTAGAGCAACAGATATTTCTCTTCAACATTCATTAATCAGCCTTAAAAAGCAAACCCAACTCAGAACAGACAAATGTGGCTTTACAGGGAAATTGAATCACGTTGCCTTCTTTCTGTTGAAAGCACCAGTGGCTTTGTAACAGTTGATTTTGTCACCCCCCCCATTGGATTCTCTATAATGCATAATTAAAAAAGATTTAGAAAGCATAGTTGCAAGGAGGTGATGCTTACACTGTAAGCTTGTGGAAGGGGCAGAGACTAACGTCAACAGCTGGCATCTCCAAAACAGAAGCTTCCAGTTCATTTAAGTGGCCATTTCTCACACAGTTATGTGTGGCGTTGTCTTTTTGTGGGTGAATCAGATAAGGCAAAACTGAACCTTAAGCACAGCAATAGAGCCAGAACACTTCGGTCCAAACGCTTTTTTGCCCAGTAACCTGAACAAAAAAGAGAAAAATTTCACAGGCCTTCAACAGCACGAGATTCACCTGATAGTCATCTGTAATCCGTAAGGACAGCTGCAAAATGTGTAAAGCAAGACCACCTGTGGGTGCCTTCGTATGTGCATGTGCACCCCAGACTACATTTTACTCAATTTGCAAAACAGGAAGATGAAGCTTTTCTATTAAGAACCTCGTCCACACCAGATCTATTGCATTGATGTGCGATAGAAGCATTACTGTAAGCTACACATCTCGGGTCTGCTAACCCAAATTGTCCTATTCAAATCAACCTGGCTGGGGTCCTTCACGATTTATGTAAAATGCCCCAAAGAGCAAGGTTTCTCCAGGAAAAGCAGGAATCAGTCAGGCAGCAGAAATAAATCTGCCAAGATTTCAATAGTCAAACACTTTTTTTTTGGGGGGGGGCTTATGCTTAAAACACCAAGTAGGTGTTTTAGACATAACCGCTTATCCAGTTGCTTTTGCAGTACTGGATCTGGAGGATCCCACACTATAACAGTAGTAATTGCCTAACTTTTGCTTGCTGTCATGCAGTAAACTGCTGACATAGTCACAATGGTGTGCCTCTAAGAGAATTCCGCTGCATAATGAGGATCTCTTTAAACAGATGTCCAATGGCAACAAAGGAGTTATGTAACCATTGTACATAAAGCATGCACAGAATAATGGAGCAGCCTTGATTATTGACTGTTTGGCATTACAATTCCCAGTAAGGCTGAAATACCCACTTCAACAAGCCCGATTTCATTTGCTTACCTTCTTCACAAATCCATTCATCTACATTAAAAGGACAAATCCACCCAAAACAGATATCAGTTTACACAATTGTTGGCAAACTGAATATGCCAACTTGTATATATCTGAGACTCCATTAGTGAGATATCCTCCTCAGAATTCCCAGTTACCCATCAGACAAAAAGCCAAATGATTGAGTGACACTGCCTTCACTGATCCTGTTGTGAGACACAAACACCTAGGTGGTCAGATGTGAGAGTGGCACCTTCATTATGGACTTGTAGAAGGGTAGAAAAATAATTCACTGCTTCTCAAAAGCAACCCTGAAAGAAATATGAAGCAGCCAGGTAATTTAACACACCAGTGCCCATCTAAAAAAAAAATACAATTTCACCTTTGGGTGGAGCTGTCCTTTAATAGTGAGGTAAAGCATATGAATAGTGCCATTAAATTGGTCCAATCTTTGCAAATATCCCATTACACTCTCCAAAACAGTCAACGAGCATCCTCCAAATCATTTGCCACCTAAACAGTCAACAATGCCATTACTCTTAAGCCCATTGAAGAAAAAGAAGTTATTATGTGGGGGTATCTCGTTGGGACAGGGCCTGGATAAAAACAGAAATAAAAGACATTGTCAGGATGTGAAAAAACAAAAAACACACATTGTGTATGCCTACTGCATGTTATACTTACCTTCACGATTTCTTGACCCAAAACACCACCCACCACTGCACAGACAGGTGCCATCTCAGAAAAACAATAGCTGGAAAAGAAGAAAAGTATACATCACCAACTGCCTTGCTGAACATCAGTTTGATAGATTTTTTTAGTACCAAAATAAAAGGAATTTTCCTAGTTGGGGAAAAAAGGCAGTGCTAACAGGTTGTGGAGGTTTCTCCTCCAAGAAATATTTGAAGAATAGGTATGGGTGATCTTCTCCCACCTTTAGTGGGACTGTGCAGTAAAAATAAAACCCTTTCTGGACAACAGTACCAGGATTGGTAGAGCCCTGACTTGAACCCTACTGAACATCTCTGCAGAGACCTGAAAATGGCAATCCCTGTCCAACCTGACAGTTTGAGAGGATTTGCGAAAAGAATGGCAGAAACTCCCCCAAGTCCAGGTTTGCAAAGCTTGTTGTGTCATACAAAAGACTTGAGGCTGTAATTGCTGCCAAAGGTGCTTCAACAAAGTACTGAGTAAAGGATATGAATACTCAGTGATATTAAAGGCAGATTTTTTTTTTTTTTTTTAAACAAGCACGTCATATCTATCTGCTGTGTGCAGTGATTTGGACAGAGCAGCCCTGATTCTCTTCTCGGGTCCCCCACCAGCGCTTCTGGACCCCCTCCTGCCTAGTGCCCCCATAGTAAGCAGCATATTATGACTGGCTCACGAGCTGCTGCTCTGTGTGTCCATTCACACATGGAGCACAGCTCAGACCCACCCCCGCTCTCTTCTCATTGGCTCACTGACTGACCGTAGCGGCAGCCAAGGGCTACCACTGCTGTTTCAGCCAATGAGGAGGGAGAGCCGAGGCTCTGATGCATACCACTGGATTGAGATGGGGCTCAGGTAAGCTTTAGGAGGGCTGCTACACATAGGTTTTTTTTTTTTTACCTTCATGCATAGTATGCATGAAGGTAAAAGACCTTGAGCCTTTACAACCACTTTAAGTACAAGTGATATTTCAGTTTTTTCTTTAATTCACAGTCATTTCTAAAATTCTGTTTTTACTTTGTCATTATGGGGCACAGAGTGTAGATTAATGAGAAAAAAAAATTAAACTGAAATATCAAGCTGCAACATAAAATTGAAAACCGTGAAGGGGGTCTGAATACTTTATGAATGCACTGTATGCCTACTAGGGGACCTTGCACTGTATTGAGTGGCATTGTATTTCAAACATGCACAATACATGAGCGCTTGTATTGCCCTTTCATCTGGCTTCTTATATATAAGGTTATACTGAAAAATGTATCCTGAGTAGAGAAGAGACAACCGTTTGTCAACCATATTTTAGCAAATATTTGTCTAACGCCAAAAGACGTAATTAAGAAAAAAAAAAAAAAGTTAGGAAGATTATAAAAGGAACTTCAATATGCAGAAGGGATAAAGTGGTATTAAACCCAAACTCAAAAGCAAACATGTATTCTATTGCAGCTTACTAATCCTTGGATGTGGTGACTGCATTCATTTTCTCTTTTCCCCCTCATCGGTCTTCACCTTGTGATCTGGCCAGTAACACACCTCCTGTTTTAAACCCACTTCCCAACCGGGCCATAGTAAAAAATACATCTTCGGTTGGAAGTGTAACACCGGGGTTATGGCTGCAGCAAGGTGCCATCACCCCTGTATTGTTTTTTTCAGTCGGCGATTCACTTACTGCTTAAAGTGGTCTGAGCGGTGGATTTGCCGCTAAAACACTTTTAGGCCCCCCCCTGCTGCTTTCCAGTGGTTCTTGGGCTTATCTGGATGATCGGTGAGCACAAGAAGCAACATGAGGATTGCGGCGGCTGGGCATAGAGATGAGAGAAGAAAAGATGGTCTCCACTCATCTCTATGGCCTAGGAGGACCATGATGTCACTTTTGGTTCCTGCCTTTTTTTTTCTTCTTTAAAGCATTAGATAAATACTTTTTTTATATATCTAATGCTTTACATTGTAGAGGAGAGATATGGGGTCTTATTGACCTTAGATCTCTACATTAAGAGGACCTGTCACTGTTTACTGGTTTGGAATAAAAGTGATCAAAAACTTTTTTTTTTTTTTTAAAAAGGTGTACACAAAAAAAAAAAAAACTAATAAGACTAAAAAAAATAAAAAATTAAAGTGCCCTTGTCCCCCCCCGTGCATTAGTGAAGGCATATCTAGGTCACACCCACATATGTAAAGTGTTCAAACCACACGTGAGGTATTGCAACTGTTAACCTGTAGAAATGTTTAAAATGTCACCCTATGGAGATTTTTTAGGTACCGTAGTTTGGTGCCATTCCACGGGTGTGAGCAATTTTAAATCATGACATGTTGGGTTATCTATTTACTCGATGTAACATCTACTCGACGTAACATCTTTCATATTTAAAAAAAAAAATTGTGTTATACATTTTGTTTTTGTTTTTTTAAATTAAAGTGTATTTTTCCCCAAAAATGGTTTTTTTTTTATTTTTTTTTTTGGGGGGGGGGGGGGGGGGGGTGGGGACATGTATATTAGGAAAAAGCCCATTGATTTTTACATATGATATGAGAGAAGTGTCAGAATTGGCCAGGTAAGGAGGTGGCTAAAGTGCCCCCACTATGGATGAAGGAGCACAGTGGGCACTTTTGTACAGCAGCATTATCAGTCTAGGAGGGGAGTGTTAATGTATCTAAATATGCCAATCCATCAAACATGAAGCCAAACTTCAGCTCACACAAGTAGTTCCAGCAAGAAGTTTAATGGATAAAGGTTTTACATTAAAAAAAAAAAAAAAAATCAAAAAATCAAATGTAGATCATTGTAAGCACCGCTGTCAGTTTTGAATGGTTTGTCTTAACCCTCCTAAAAAGATACATGTGCATGACAGCTTGTTCGATTCAAAAATATATTTACTGGCTGGATCACAGGATGAAAAATAAGAAGCTTAAAAAAAAAAAAAAAAAAAAAAAAAAAAAGAAAAAAACTAATGCAGACCTCACATCTCAGAAATGGTAGGCTGCAATATAAATGTTTGCTTTTGGGTTTAACAACACTTTAATATACAATGCTAATATGCCAGGACAAAAATCCTGACTGGAAAAAAAAAAAAAAAAAAAAAAAGCCAACAAGATTTGAAAGTTGGTCACATGGCACAAAAAAACACACACAAAAAAAAAAACAGGATTTTTTTTTTGTTACTCAGTGTAAAATCCCTTTGAGTTCATTGACGGACACAGCTATTCTTATTCTTGGTCATAGGGTTTATAGTGCCACCTACAGGAGTAGGACACTGAACAGAAAAAGAACCGCACCACCTATGGGCAAGTAATAGCTGGTAGAAAACCCCCTTTCTGCTATAGGCAGTCTAGTTACAAAGCAGTGTCAGAAGTATATTTCCAATAGAGGGGTGGGAGTTGTGTCCATCAATGAGCTCAGCAAAAGGGATTTTACGGCGAGTAACAAAAATCCTGTTTTCTCTTACGTTCATTGACAGACACAGCTCTTCCTATTGTCGACCATAGGGACATCTCAAAGCAGTGCCTCAAAGAGGGTTGGGCAAATCACAAACAACCGTAGCAACCAAGCAAGCAAGCGTGCCAACCACCCGAAAACACCCCAATGGGTCAACAAGTAGCTGTAAATAGAAGCCAGCAAGATCTGTGGCCAAAACAGGAAACAAAACCCACCAACCTCCAAAAACTGTGGTAAAGCTATGCACAAAAAAACCAGCAGCCACCTTCAAACCTGAGACACTTACTCCTGAAAACAGAACTTACAAAAGGTGCTAGGCGCGCTGGTGGAATATGCCCAACAGCTAAGGAAAGAGCCCGACCCACATGGCATAGAATTATCGAATATAGCGAGAGACAGCAGCAGCCATCAGGCCTGTCTTGGGCCATCTGTGAGCACAAAAACAAAGGAAGCCGACTTCCAGAAGGAGGCAGTAGCAAACAGGTACATACCAAACCGCCAAGATCACATCCAAGGACAGCAACGCAACTACCATAGAATGGGACAACCGCGGACACAAGATGGATAAGATGAAGTGCAAGACAAGGCTGCCAGCACTGGCACCAGCAGTGCAGACTATGGTGACCAGAAGGCAACCTAGTGAGAAAAGAAAAACAGGAGAATATCTGTATACTTTTAAAGGGAGGCATCCTGAACGAAAAAAAAAAAAAAAAACACCCAAATGCAAGCCCCATGGTGGCGACAGGGATGCACAAGGGGTGCCACATGACAAACGTGCACAATAAAAAAGGTACAAATAAAAAGTGCATGGCCACTGAACGCTGACAAAGGACAGCAACCTGACCTTAAAGGGGTTATTAATGCGCCATCAAAGGCGGCCCATAACCGAGCTAACGAGAATGAACGTGGATAGCCATCCAGAGCAGCATAGCAACCAAAACAAGCCTTCCAGGTGCAGGACACACATTCCAAAGGGTAGACATGAGCGCCTGCAACCTGAAGGGATCACTGAATCAACAATCCTGTGTCCCAAAAAAACAGTTTGTAATAGCCATGCCTCTAGCCAGAGACATGAAGAAAGGTGCTAAACCGAACGTGGGAGAGGAGATCCTCCCAAACAGGCAACCACCAGGGAGTGTCTGCAACCAGCTACATCATGGCGACATACCACGGACGACGAGGCTTAGGGCAACCAGAACTCCCCCTTCCTTTATCCAGCGCAGCCAGAGACTGAGCAACTCGATAGGCAATACCAGGCCATGGTTTCAACAAAACAGATGTTGTAACTGCCAAGGGAGTCCCACGCTCTTGTCACAAACTGTAGTACCCACTCAAGCAGACAGAACACCAGAGGAGCGCTGCTGGGGGTCCCCCAGCACAGGCAGATCTGATGACAAACTGTCCACGTGTAGGGAACATTCACCTTTATCTAGCCTGTGACAACCAAGACAATATGCCTGCCGATTCTGGATGGTGGTGGTGTGCATGGCAGAGGAAGCCAGAATGACCTGCCTCACACACCACACAACGCAAAATGTGTCCAGTGCCACATGGTTCATACAGCCCTGATGAGCGATATAGGCCACTGTGATGGTGTTATCCAGATGGATCCTGACCGGGGCCCCCGGAGAAGATTTATCCAGTGCTCCAGGGACAACCCGATCGCTTGTAGCTCCATGACATCGATGGGTAGGCAAGCCTCCCCTCAGTGACCAACGGTCCCACATTGATCGCAGAGCTAAGATTCCTCCCCAGCCAAAAAGGCTAGTGTCCACCGAGGCAGCAGTCAAGTGGAGGGGGAGAAAGGATCTTCCAGCAGGCAGGGTCAGAGCCCAGAGCCATATATGAGGGAGGCTCTTATTAACTGGTCCAGACACATCTGGTTGTCAAAGGAGGCCACAGACAAGTTACACTTGAAGGGAATTACCCTATGCAGAACTCTAACAGGAGACTGCGCAGACGGAACTGTCTCTTAGACACCATCCGATCAAGAGCCTCTATGCTTGACTGCAAGGACGACTGCCCGCAGAACAAGAGCAACTGGAGCACAGGCCAAAGCTTCTGGAGATTGTCCACCAGAAGAAACGCCCTGGCCTGGTCCTAGTCAAGAACCAGACACAAATACCCAGACTCCAGGTCAGGTGCCATGGCAGACTGCCAGAAGGCCAGGACAATCTGAACACTAGCAAGAAAGCATCATGATCTCCATGGTGTCCATTCACACAGCCCACAAGAGCAGGCATCCAGATAATCCGGCACATTAATCCCTCGGTATCTCCGCCACGCCAGGGATGGAGCCCACATCTTGGAGAACATCCGGGGAGCCAAGGCCACTTTGGAATGTGTAAGGAACTCCCAGGGACAACATGCAAACTGCAGGCAGGGATGCCATGCGTGGGATTAAAACCTTCTGCTAGGCAGAAGAGCTAACCACTTAGCCACTATGCTGCCCTTGGAAGACAAATGGCCAAAAATGATAGTGTGCATCCCCCACTCCCAAGCAGAGAGACCACTAATGTCCCTCGTAAACAGTAACAAGCAAGTATGCATCCATTGGAGACTGCAGAATGCAGGTTAGAGTGAAAAGCCCCAGAGCCGTTCTGTCCTAGGCACAAAGGACCAACACACTTTGGACTAGCAGATCCTGTACTGCCCCCTCCAAGGCCCAAAAACTAAAATGATGGGAGGCGAAGAGGGAGGGAAGGAATTCTCCAGTAGATAATGAAATATAATCTTGTAGCCGAATGCTACCATATCATGGACCCACTTGTCTGGAATGAGAGGAAAACTGTCAGCAGACTATGTGGACCTCTGGATCCAAGGGCGCAAGGCGCTATCCGTGGAGAACAGGAAGGCCATGGAACCCTTGTCAGAAGAGTCAAAGGAACGAAGCGGCCACTTATAGGAAGGAAAGGAAGACAGATGCTGCCCAGAAGTCTGCAGGATCTTTAACCACTTGCCGACCGCAGATAGCCGAATGACGGCTTCACTGCGGCCGGCCAGTTCTGGGAGGGAGTCATATGACATCCTCCCAGAACGCGCTCTCCTGCACGCCACCAAGGCGCGCACTTGGCGATCTCCATGATCGCTGTGTCCTACGACACACTGACCACCGGGAAATGCAACTGCCGGTTATCGGCTGCACTTTCCTCACGCTGTCACAGCGTGAGGAAAGTACCGCCGAGAACCAGCAGTTGTCAGAGGAAGGGATCAGCACTAATCATCAGGACAGTGATGATCAGTGCCCAGCAGTGGCACCCACCAATGCCGCCCACAAGTGCCCACCAGTGCCGCCCACAAGTGCTGCTCATCAATGCGGCCTAACCAACGCACATCAGTGAAGGAGAAAAATTACCTGTTTTCCAAATTTCATAACAGAAACAAAGAATTTTTTTTTTTTTCAAATTTTTTGCTCTTTTTTTGTTTAGAACGCAAAAAACAAAACCAGCGGCACGTAAATACCAACCATCAAAAGAAAGCTATTTGTGTGAAATTTTTTTTATAAAAATGTAATACGTGTACAATGTTGCATGACCGCGCAATTGTCAAAATTGGCCTGGGCAGGAAGAGGGTAGAAGTGCCTGGAAGGCAAGTGGCTAAGGAAGGGAGACTCCTCCACCAGTATCCAGTTACCAGACGACCTGGAAGAAGGAGAGATTACCCTAGGAGGAGAGGTCCACTTGTCCAGAATGACCCCTGCAAAAAAAGGGGCAATGTACTGCAAAGCACAACATAAAAAACAAAAAAGGACTCTTCAGTTGTTCCCTACTTAGCCCACACATGCACACTCAAAGGGACAGCTACTGTCCCAGGAGTCTCAGAGGTAGCTTCACCCAGTAACATTCCCCACACTGTGGGAAAGAGTGCAGCCATCAGCCCAACTCCTGGGAGCAAGCAGAGGCCTCCACCTCTCTTGCAGAAGAATCCATAAACAGAATTCCAGATTACAGTAAAGCAGTGGGCGACAACCCAGGCCGCTGTTTCCATACTGAACTGTGGAGCTGAAGCAGTCAGTGCCAAGCACGGTGCCTCAGACCGCGTCTGCCTACCACGACACAGCTATACTAACCAAGGGAGCAGCAGGAAGGAGCATCTCACAGTCGGACAGGTCCAAAGCCCCCTATGCTTGTACAGCGACAGGAGAACCTCAGGTGGGCTGACATACACCCCTAGAAGTGCCTACTTGAGCCAACACCAACCCATAGTGCCACTGGTAACCTCTGCCCACATGCTTGAGCAGAGCTCCTTACCATGGGAGGAAGGCGAGAGGGAAAGGGCAAGAGCAATAAAGCAAAATGGTGCCACACACCTTCCAACAGCACCACTTAGCCAAAGGAGGGCTCCACCTCACCCATGGGATCAGGCTGCAGAAAGGGCGAATGCCCATAAGCAAAATGTTGACACCACCACCAGGTCCAGGAGGCTGCAAAGCCATGGCCTAAATTTATGGGGAGCCTAACAGCGTGTATATATTTAAAAAAAAAAAAAAAAAAAAAAATGCACCCAGCAAAGGAAGGGAACATAGTCATCCCCCCACTATCTAGCAAGCCAAGGCCATCCAGCAGTGTACCTCTGGGGGGGAACACACATGGCTCACGGTAAGGGGAACCGCGCACAGGCACATACAGCCCAGCAGCAATGCCCCATGTCATTTGGGGCCCAGGAGGACTAGAAACAGGGCACAAAGCACCTTATTAATTTGCCCTGAGAGTTCAGGGGGAAAGGGGGGGGGGGGGGGGTAGAAGAGACTGACCCTGTGGGGGAGGCAGAGAATCGGAACCGACTACCCCAGGGAGGACCCATGCCCCTCCTAGGAGGGGAGGAGGCCATCCACTTGCTAATTCCATGGAGATTGCAGGTAATACTCCAAAGACAGATTCACCTCACCACCAAAGTGGGGGGCTATTGGCCAGGATAACACGGATTCGGTGCTCTGGTGCCTGGTCATATGCGTTCCCCACGAGATGTTTAACTCCTTGGCCTGCCCTGGTCCAGGATGGGGTAGAGCTAGCGGTCTGTGCATGCTCATTGGCTAAACTGGGATGACCACTGGACCTAGATCACGCAGCTCGTCACCCAGCACAGCTGTTGATTGAAGATCTCCACAGGAAATATCCCAAGAAAAATGTAAAAAAGAAAAAAAAAAAAAAAAAAGGTTTTGGAACCACAGGTTCCAGCATCGATCCAGGTCCATACTCCTGAAGACACTAGGCAGAAATAACAGGATTGCCTATAGCAGAGAGGGGGGTTATATACCAACTAGGACTGCCCATAGGTGGTGCTGTGTTTTTTCTGCCTAGTGCCCAACTCCTGTAAATCCTATGGTCGAGAATAAAAGAGCTGTCTCCTTGAATGAACATAAGAGAAATAAAGATTTATTTTCTTTTGTAAAGCTGTCAATTGAGCCTAGGCCTACGTTTTGTGGTATACTCACATAAATTTCTACTTTGTGCACACACTTTAGGCCTATTTCACACCGGCATTGAAAGCAGGCATTTGAGTGGTGTTTATGAATGCTCCTCAAACTCCTATGCAAATGATATGGACAGCACACAGTATCAAAACATGAAGCGTTAACATTGCTTTGCGTTAAAATGGAAGCCTCATGTTGAGCCTGAAGCCTTTCAACGCCTCCCATCAAAGTCTATTGTAATGCTCTGCAAACATGCTGGCAGGTGTTTTCAGCGCATTAACACTACAGATAATTATAGGTGTTTGTGGTGTGGGCTTAATGCACCTGTAAGGCTAGTCAAAGGTCTCAGAAACTTACAAAGGGTGTTTGGGGAGCATTTTTAAGGCATGTTAAATGCCAGCCAAACACACCTATTAGCATTAACGCTATGTATGTTTTGAGTCAATTGTGAACAAGCTCTTACTGTTTTATGATTGACATTTATGCAAACAAAGCATGGCAACAATGTTGTATCACGTTTTGTAATGAACGTTCAATTATAATAAAAATAAAAAAAAAATCCAAAAAAATATCAAAATTACCTAGCAAAGTCTTCTTCCAGGTGATCAGGGTTAACACTCATGGAATCCAGCAGATCATTGCGAATCTGCAGCAAGAGATCACAGTCTTCCTGAAATGTGCTGGGCTGCGGGTCTCTCCCCTTGTCAGTACGGAACTTCATTTATTACTGTGGAGAGAGGAGATTTATCAGTGCTACACTCAATTTATGAATAGGAGGAAATCAAATGATACCAGACACGAAACATTATGTGGTTCATTCCTTCCCCACCTCTACAGCTATTCTGTGTATCACTGACAGGGAGTTAAAGAAAAATTTAATTGTTTTTATATCCTATGAACACGTTAAAAAAACAAAACAAAACTTCCAGCCAGGTGTCAGTAAAAGACTGGACACGTTACAGTTGTAGTGTTCATTACTGAAGCCACAGGAAGACGAAACCAAACTAACACTTCACTTTGAAATTCACGCCAGACTAGGGTGGAACATGTGAAGTGTACCAGTCAATAAGTCAAGATCAGCAGATTGCGGGTGGAAAGTCAGTCTCCTGCAGTCTCAGAACAGCTGTCCACCTGTACCTCCCATACAGGCAAACAGTTACCGAAGTCCAGGAAGAATCAAACTCATAGTGCTCACCAGTGCCTTTGCATTTCATTACGGCACTTGCAATTCATTTATTCACAGACCTGTGTGAATAAATAACGTGGCTGTGTGAGTGGAGCACTGTACAGCTGTTCGATTTTTAAAATTGTGACAGTGGGTACAGGCAGGTGCTTAAGTAACATGTTACACCCTAAATAGAGGTGTAACATGTTACAAAAGGTGAACTTGTCTTTTAAAAAAAAAAAAAAAACACTGCTTATACAGGCGTTCACTGTTTAAGCCTGTAAACACACCTCTATGTTAGCCTATTTAGTGATATATACACATAGGTTTTTACAGGCATACTTTAAGAGGAGCCTTTACAGGCAGAAATAAAAACCTGCCAAAAAAAGGTGCATTCAGACAGGAGCTTATGAGCATAACTTACATGCACATGTGCATAAATGTATTCCAATGGCCAAAATAAATTAATATCCTGACCAGTAAAGTATTTATGCTCAACGCCATACCCGCATACTTGAGACATTTTTTTTTTCTGCATAAACGTTCTGGTAGGAAAAAAAAAAAGAAATATAGCATAAATTCATATGCCCATGCATGAGGTGGCAAACTTTTGTAAGCCAGATGAATAATATAAATAAACAAATTTAAAAAGAGCAAATGAAAAAAAAATTTAAGATGACTTGCAGAAAATAAACCTCAGTGAGTATTAAAAATCAAGAATGATGGCAGAATACATCAAATGAGCAGCAGAACAGGATCTTTGCTGGAAGTAAGCTGCCACAAGTCTGTGTACAAAAGATAGACCTACTGCAAAAGGGGCCTACTCAATATTAGGTGGGTGGTCAAAATGTTATGGCTGATCAGTGCGTATCTCAATCTTTATTTTCCCAAAGAAATTGAGAATTTCCAAGAATGCACAGAGATAAAACAGATATATGAAATTCATTATTAACTATTCATTGGTGTATATTATAATTGTCTATATTTTATAATAAAAATTGATGTTTTTTAAGCATAGTTGATTTATATAAAGTGGAAGAGGGTAAGCGACCTTGTTAGGTGTCCTAGTATCTATTGTTATTGGACCAAGAGTGAAGGAAAATGCCGGAACTGCATCATCGAATGACCGGAAGTGACGTACGGCTCAGCATTCCCGGCCTCACCCCCCCACCACAACACCTCACAGGGACCTGGTCTGCCACCCACTGTGGCAGCCCTCTCTGGACAAAAACCTGCAGAAGAATGGATCTCCATACCCTCTCCCAAGCACCATAACCCCCATAGGAACACTGCCCCAGTATAAGGAGTTCTACAGTCAGGAAACAGCGCTACCTAGGACGGAGGCCTGACAGCAAAACAAAAAGCTTGAGGTAATCCTGTCTGGCCCGGAGAAAACAAATACTGATGAACCCTGGACTTGCGCCTAGTTTTAGGCTAATGTGGATCTGTATTTCCTGTGCTAGGTGGGAGGAGCCTCTTTCAAGCCATCCTGGTAGACAACTGGTGAAAGTCTACCAATTAGGACACATGTTGTGGTGATAACTAAGGGGAGGTCTCTCACTATGGAGAGATTATCTCTTACTTCCTTTGCTGTGTCTATGGGACAGGAAGTGAAGGTAAATCTACATAAACAAAACAAATTAATGCAAGTCTAAACCTAAAAACACAGATAGTATTGCAGCTTACAGGTCCCTTCGATGTGGTGACTGCTTTAGCAGTTTTCTTTTTACACACTTTTTTCTCTTCTTTTAACCTGGTAATCCTGCCATTAACACACTTCCTGTTCTGCAGTGACAACCATAGTGAGAAGTGTTATCCTAAGACAAGGAGTGTATAAGGATCACATAACACCTCTTCTGTATAACAGTGAGCGCGGTTTTGGGGTCCATGTAGATAGCAGGGAACAATGCTAACTGGTAACAGTCCACAGGTGGAGAGTACAGGAAGTTATCAGCTCACTAGATTTCTGTCTGAACAGCCAGCTATTTTTTGCACTTGTTGAACAGATAAATATACAGTTAAATTGTTTTATAACAAACCAAAAAGGGAGCAAATAAAGCAAATTTATTGTTAGAGTTTACATAACCTTGTCTACGCTTTAAATAAAAAAAAAAAGAAAAAAAGTGGGCTTTGGATGCATGGTAATGCAGTCTCCTCACCCCGATAATAGTTTGCATTCTAACTTAGAACTGGAATGCTATGTGATGCAGGCTGCAAAAATAAGAAAAAAAAACGTAAGGGTTGGCAGGAAGGACACAGCAGCATTGCTGTCTGTATAAGCTTTGGCTCACATACAGTATGTGCATGTGGTGCTGCTGCAGATCTGCAAGAAAATCCGTGCAGCCGCACCACCCGAACAGAGGGAATCGGACCTGTGGGTGGGTGCCATTAGTTCTAATGGCACACCGCCCGTACTGGACAACGGAACCGCACTGGGAACCGAAGTTCCCGTGCAGGCTGCATTTTTAGAAGTGCAGGGACTTCTTCCCTGCGTGTCAAGGGGCATGGGAGTCCATTCAAATGAATGGGCTCTCGTGCCCATGCAAAATGCGGCCGCATTTACCAGGGGTAAGTGATTTCCTGGCTGCAGGTAGAACCTCCTTTTCTTTTGTAACCCGCTTCTATTTACCACCCTTGGTGGAACTCGAATGATGAAGACATTGAGATATGTAACCTCTCCCCAATTCCTAGCGTCACTGCATAGAGAATGGTGAAAACAGGTTGCAAGCCTCAATGCACCAATGAAGGGCTCCTTTGATGATCTGGCCAGAAAAAGAAGATGATTGCGTCAGAGAATTGTTGTTAGTGTTACTAAACCCGCAACAGTAAAATCAGTCTGTATATGTAGTAAAGCATGCTTGTTATACTGACTGTGGAACCTAAGAGGTTAACCAGTCGCATTGTTTAAAAAGGCTGTTTGATCCCGCCTTCTCTGATCCTCCCCTTCTACTGTCTCCAATCTATCTGCTGATAGTACAAAGCTCTAGGAGTTACTCTGCACATGCTCAGCCTAGTGTGCATTGCTAGAGACTGCTATATACTGCTGATGAGAAGAAGAATTTTAGCAGTTTATATTTTACTAAAATAATTGCATTTCCATGTTCTGCGTACTGTGGGAGACCAGGTATAGTGAATGCAGGATCCTGGGTTTAGCAACACTTTAAGCAGAGCATAGCAACTCTCTCTGCATGTAGCATCAGTGTGAACTTAGCCTGACCTTATAATCTAGATGGCTGTTTTCAGTGTCTCTCTAGATAGATATAGTGCAATAGGAGATAAAAGGAATATAACTAGCTGATATACAGAGTTGTGTTTCACATCAGCTGTATAACGTGTATATACAGTACTGATTTCTGAATGTACATAATGCTGTATAGCAGGGGACGCCAAACTTTCTAAGAGCCAGTTTACTGTCCTTCAGGCTTTACGAAGGTCTGGCCTGTGGCCAATTGGAGTAAAAAATGCTCCGCTATCAGTTGGCATAAACAATGCCCCATCATTGGCTCTAATGGGGGGGAAAATAAGACCCCACTGTTGGTATCAATGGGAAGAGAAGTGCCATTGGTGGTGTCAACAGGAGGAATGGTGTTCTATCATTGGCATCAGTTGGTGGAATAGTACCCCAAGGGCCAGATAAAGGCAAGCAAAGGGCCACATTCAGCCCCTGGGCTGCAGTTTGGAGACTACTGCTGCATAGAATGAGACATGAATACTATTGGCTGTTACAATATACAGTACCTTTAAAAAGTATTCCTACCCCTTGAAATTGTCCACATTTTGTCATGTTACAACCAAAAACAATTGTATTTTATTGGGATTTTATGTGATAGGCCAACACAAAATTTTTTACAAATAAATATGTGAACAGTGTGGCGTGGATTTGTATTCAGCCCCCCTGAGTCAATACTTAGTAGAACCACCTTTCGCTGCAATTGCAGCTGCAAGTCTTTTTGGATATGTCTCTATCAGCTCACTCTAGAGCAGTGGTTCTCAACCTGTGGGTCGCGACCCCTTTGGGGGTCGAACGACCCTTTCACAGGGGTCCCCTAAGACCATCAGAAAACACATATTTCCGATGTGTAAAGAGCAGCTACTGCGTTGAAAGCAGCTGCTGTGTTGAAAGCAGCTGCTGTGTTGAAAGCAGCAGTATTGGAGGTAAAAACGACACTCATGAATTATAATTACTGGGTAAATAATTTTATGGTTGGGGGTCACCACAACATGAGGAACTGTATTAATGGGTCACGGCATTAGGAAGGTTGAGAACCACTGCTCTAGAGTGACATTTTTGCCCATTCTACTTTGCAAAATAGCTCAAGCTCTGTCAGATTGGATGGAGAGTGTCTGAAGTCTGAAGTCTTGCCACCGATTCTCAATTGGATTTAGGTCTAGACTTTTACTGGGCCATTCTAACACATGAATATGCTTTGATTTAAACCATTCCATTGTAGCTCTGGCTGTATGTTTAGGGTCATTGTCCTACTGGAAGGTGAACTTCCACCCCAGTCTCAAGTCTTTTGCCGACTAACAGGTTTTCTTCTAAGATTGCCCTGTATTTGGCT